TTCTCTCAAGGTGCGACTACGTTTGGATCTCGGAGCCGCCGTACGAGGACGTGTCGGGAACTCCGTTCTGCGGATTGTACTCACCGATCACGTACAGATCCAGCACGAGAACACTGTCCATCACTCTGCTCTACAGCCAGTCGCACAAGCACGCGTTCACGCTCGAGTACACGGCAGAGAGTAAGAAGCGAACGGAAGTGGGAAGCAGGATGGCGTTCGATTCGATTCGATCCGATCGATCTGTTCGCAGGGAACAGGTTACACCTGAGGGGCACCGAACTGACGACGACGGCGACCGGTCATCAAGCGGCCAAGGGACTGAACAACACGGGTGGCGGGATTCTAATGTCTCCGTTCTTCCCGGCTCGGTATCCTCGCGACCTCGGCTTGGAGTACGTGGTCACTTGCTCGAGCGAGGCACCCTCCTGTCGCATCAGGTTGCTGTTTAGCGATTTTCAGCTGGCGACGGTGTCGATAATGGAGGTAAGCGCGAGTCTCTCTCACTCTCTCTCTCTCGCGAATCATGATTGCGAACGATGATTGCGATCACTGCTGGCGAACAGTTTTACGATTGGAACGGCCAACGACTGGACGTGAGCAGCGGCGCGAGATTTCGTCCGCCGGTGATCGTGAGCTCCGGGCCTTCGTTGCTGATACGATTCTACGCGAACGGCGGCACCGGTCTCGGCTACAAGGCCTTCTACTCGTTCGTCATCGGGCATCCGATGTTGGAGACGAAATCCGTGCAACCGATAACCGACTGCGGCGGCTACGTGGAGAATCTCGGCGGCACCATTACCATGATGGACATGGTCGGTGGCGAGGCGGTGAAAAAAACGTACGACTGCGTCTGGCTGATCAGGCCGCCGAAGAACTTTTTACACATGAAGACGCACATGTATCTGAAGGTGATCGCGTTCGCGGACATGGGTGAGTGAGGGCCCTTTCTTCTTTTTTTCTTTTCTTCTCTTATTCTTGCTGATTTTCGCGGCGTTTCGTTCTTGCAGCCGGCAATACGGAACTGGTGGTGAAACAGGGACCCACGTCGGCCCTGTTGCCCCTCGAGATCCTGAGACATCCGGCGAGTCAGCTGCAACCACCGAGGCCGCACAGGGAGCACGTGGCACCGGTCACCAGCGGCTTTCACGTGAGTCTGCGGGGAACGTTTGGTCCGCCGTCGCAGCTGGCCATCGCGTACGCGGCCTTTAGTTACATGGGTGAGAGCGCACCCGCGTTTCTTTCTCTGTTTGTTTCTCTGTTATGCACACGTATATCGTTTCGTACGCTACATACGTACGTCGGTTGTTGTCGCAGACTGTTTCGCCGGCTCGGACTTTCTTTGCCGCAATCACAGATGCATACCGAGTCAATTGAATTGCGACGGGTTCGATCATTGCGGCGACAACAGCGACGAACCGGCCACCTGCTTTCGAGGTACGTGTGCCTCGCAGTGCTCTCGACTACTCGGCGGACAGAGCAGTCTCGTCACATTACGGAGTAAGAATTTCCCGTAGATTGGGAGCTGGAGCCTCAAGATCGAAAGTGGCACGCCAACAAGGCAAACTACTACTTTCCAAAGATCGATCGTTACCCGGACTTGAAGACGGCCACTCTGGTGTTCGTGGCCAGCAGCCTGGGTCTGATCGTTTTGATATCGGCGCTGATCATCTTGCTGTACAGGATGGGCGCCAGGGCCCGGCAGCAGAGAGAGCTGCAGTCGAGGCTGCAAACGATCAGCGAGCTTCTAGGTAGGAAGAAATGCCAGGCGAGAAAAAGTGAAATGAAGTGAAAGACCCGGTCGGCACTTTCGACACAGTTTTCGATATTGCAGACGGCGCGCGTATCGACGAGATCGCAGGCTCGGACGACCCGCCGGTGTACGAGGCACCGCCTGGCTACGACGAGGTGGTCAAGCTCGGATTCGACTCGGAGACGATCGGTCGGAAGAAGAGGAGAGCGTTCGGTCGAGAGCCGCGCGCGAGTCGAAGCTCCCCCAGCCAAAGCTGCTCGTGAGTAACCTGTCCGCGTTTACCTTCCGAACGGCACGAAACTGTATGCCGTGTTCTCGTTGCTTCGTGGCTTCTCGACGTTCGAACCTACGTTGGATAGGTTGGACGTTGGTCGATCCTCGGTTTGTTCGCTGGCCGAGTCAGCGGCAGGCAGCAGTCGCGGGAACGGTCGCGCCACAGCTGCGTCCAGTTGCAACCAAGACGACGCCGGCCTCTCGAAGAATCGTGCAACGACTCGAGTACCGGAGAGCCCGCCGCCACCGTACGTCACTCCGCCAGGATCGATGTCGCGACATTTCAGCGTGTCGGGACTAGCGTCGGTCGATTCGAACGATTCGCGTGAGTATATATGTATATATGTATATATTTGTAACGCCGCGTTTACAAGTTTACGAGTTTCAACAGGCGAGCGAGACGACAAGCAGAAGGAGATGAAAGAGACGGAAGAGAACGAACACGAGGAGAAGAAGGAGCAGGAGAAAACGGAGGTCCGACGGGATTGGTTTCGTCGAGCGGACGAGCAATTCTCGTCATCCCTGTCTGGGAACGACGACGATTCCCCTCCGGGAGGATCGTCCTCCCCGGCGAAGAGCGTCGTCGATAGTCGGTCGTCGTCGGAAGTCGTGGTGTCGATCAACGCCGAATTGCTCGGTGCGTATCCGCGGATTCGCAGCAGCGCTTCGAACTTGATTCGAACGACGGCCGACGCCTCGTGTGATTCGCAGCGGAGGTGCTCGCCCGTTGCTTCGACGAACGCGGTGCAGCCGTCGGGTCGCGACGAGGGCCAAGGAGAAGGAGAAGGAGAAGGAGGAGGAGAAGGAGGAGGAAAGAAGGCGGAAGAAACGATCGAGGACACTGTGGAGGAGGAACGGTCGTGCAGAGCGGTGAACGAGTCGGGTACGGAGGGACGAGGAGGCGGGGAACAGCTGGCCGAGGTCGTCGAGGATAAGACGGTTAAATCGGAGGATGGCTGTGGATGTTCGTGCGAGGGTGCCTGCGGCTGCGCGACCGTGCAACGTCGGTCGTCGTCGTTCAAAGAACGATCGATCGCCGGTGGTCGCCTTCGGTGGCCGGCGGTTCGTCGCATCTCGTCGACGGATCGAAATCTCGCGGGACGATCGACGATCGACGAGAGAAGAGAATGGGAACGAGAGCGCAACGAGGACGAAGAAATGGAAGAAGAGGAGGAGAGGGAGGACGATGAGGACGAGGACGAGGACGAGGACGACGGTCTCTCGTTTCGATCGAGAAGTGAAAGTACGATCGTGAAATTACTAGGCGACAGGAGAACGAAGAAAAGCGGCGGATCGACGGGCGCGTCTGTGGCCGCCGGTTCGCCGATACCGTGCGCAGGTACCTTTGGCAGATCCGCGCGGAAATTGCCGATTTATCGAACGTCGACGATCGGCGGATTGATCAACAATTACGAAAAGTTGAGCAACGGCGAGTTCGAGAAATCGAGCCGGAGGAGCATGCACGCCTCCGACCCGGTCTCGATCGGTTCGTCGCGCGGCGTCGAGCAACGCTGCCGACGATACTCGAGCTGCTGCGATCTGGAGAGTCTGTACGAAGGAATCAGGATTCTGGACGAACTGTTGGCACGAAGGAGCAGCCACCTGGCGGTCGCGCACGGCCCACGGAAGCAATCGGTGACGGTGATGCTGTTTGGGACGCCGAGGCACGGAGCGACGGCGACCACGACGACGACGACGACGACGCGTCGACGACGATCGGCCGGCGAGGAGGGGACGATTCGCGAGATTGGACGAGTTTCTCGATTCAGCCTCGACGCCCTTTCCAACTGAGTTGAATTGCTTCGTTCTCGCCGAGAAGAGACGAGAAAGAAGCGAGCGAAGAGAAGAGAAAAACAGAGAGAATATTTATTGCGAAAAAGATTTATTTTTGCTAACTTTTTTTGGCGACGTTCGATCGTCTTTCGTTGCATATCCCTCTTTCTCCGAGAGTTGAATTACGGATATTTACAGAGACGTAGTAAAATATACTGTACATACACGCGTATACATATATCGTACAGGTATACAACTGTATACACA